ATTATTCCCCAGAAATACACAGTCAGCACCTCAGTTCAATTAGCTGTGCTGATGAGACTGTGGGGGGAGGAAATTGCCAATGTAGTTAGATTGGCATTTACTCTGTGTCCAAAATCTTTCATCAATGAGATGTGTGGTTCGTTAATAGTACAGTTCTAGTTGTAAATTGTATTTCGGCATTACAGACAAAGAACTGTCTGACTCTCCATGCAAAGTAGGTAAAAAAAGACAAAATAGTGTTCAGACAAAATAGTATTTCTTAAGAATGTCAGAAGTTAAATGCAATGTTATGAGGGGAATTATGTTTAAAAAGTAAGAAAATTTAAGGGAATCACTCCTGGATTTAAATTAAAAAATATTGATGCAATATTCACTTTTTCATAAATCATTACTAGTAATATTGGATATTATGAGTACTATTTAAAATATTGCAGATGATAAGTAAGTTAGAGTATACTACTCTGGGAATATTATGAGGATATAATTTCTATCAAAAACTCTTGTGACTATAGTCAATATGTATGTATGATATAATTAACTTTAAATAAGTCTATTTGATGAAAGTTCTAATGCAAAAAGATTTCATTTGACAAAGGTATTTCTTTTCTTGTACTGTTGTAGCTGTTGTGCCAGGAATTTGGATGTTACTTATTATAGAGAAACTTGATTTGAACAATGGTATACTTCAATTAGAGCCTTTTGGCAATCTTATCAATATAATCCATCTAGTGCTGGTTACCGGTAAGTGTATCTGGAACATGTACACGTGCATGTGACAAATGGTGTCAAGTTGTCTAGTACCAGAGGCATCCAGTAATAATCTATAGCTTACTAAATGCACTGTACACCTATATGCAATCCTGCGGGTAAATGATATTTAAGGATGTTATGAACATTTTAATTTAAATGAAAATATTGACATGGAACACATGGAATCATTTAATGAGAAGGAAAAAATGTTAAACACCTGACCATTAAATAACCAGTGCACTCATTTTACCACATAAAAATAGCAAAATATTTGTTATTATAATAAAACCGTTTAATTAGTCTTGTCTCAATTTTCTCACACACTTTCTGCTGGTGCCTGAGTAATGCTAATGGCATCCTTGTTATGTTATACAATTTGTATCTAGAATATTCATGAACCACACCTGGCTGCTGTGCTTGTGTCGCAGTTCCGATTGCATCTTGTTCAAGGTTTTGTGCAAATACCAGCAAATTTGACCTATAACTAAAATACCAGAACAACTCTAACTTGAAGCATCCTATCCTTTCAACAGATTTTTTAGAAAATATCACATGACTGAATATGATGCAAACATTGCTGCAAATACAAGCTTACGGAGACAGATGGCAAAAGTTTCTAAGGCAGAACAAACACTGTGGGCGGAAGAGGGAAATATTCCAGAAACGTTAACACACATACCTGACTTCAATTTGAATATTTGGTAACAAACAATGACTCAGTGTACAACATGTCAAACCATCTGATGGTTATTCACGGCATATCTTGTTGCAAATTTTCTAACTTGTCTCAATATCTCTAGGTAATTAAGATATTTTGGACTGATTGAACCTGCCAAAGGTTCTTAGAAGTGACAGATCAACTGCATTTTTCAATTCCAGCCAAATGACTGAGACCCTCTAGGCTGCAAAACAAATACTTTAGATAAGTCATCGTTACTTGTCACTTTGAACTGCCATGAAAGTTCTGAGCTGTGAAAACTGTTCAGTTTCCTTCTTTTCTCAGCACAAGCCCTCAAGCAGAATCCATTGTCCTGATCATGACCTGTGAAAACAGCTTTCTTTCTTCTTTTTGAGCCACACAGAACTTCATTGTTTAACCAGTCAATGATATAATGTGTCAGTCTGAGTTGTAACAAATTATACTGAATCAGATAAAACTTCAAACATTTCTAAGGGCCTGAACAACAGAACAACATATCAGCACTAACCTGTTTTCCACTGACAACCAACCTCCTCTGCAGCAATGCAGTAACCCAAATGTGAAATCATCCCACTGACTCTCAATTTATAGGCGGTGCCATTATGGGATTTAGGGGTTTAGGTTTTCAAGTCTTTTATGTGGTGAAAATTGAATTCTCCATAACAATAAGATAGCCATAAACTGGTGAAATGACCCAATCCTTTTCTCTCGCCTCCCAATGAATCCCAAAAGTCTTAGGATGGAGTGATTATGGGATTTAAAGTGATCATTGTTATCATTCTGAAGTCATGTTAATGTGAGTCATTTTTCATTGTAGACTGGCATGGGCTAAATTGACGTGCAGTTGAATGCAAGTCTGAATAATTCAGTGCCATCTGTGTGTAGGAATCTGCTGTGTAGGTGTCCAGGCTGCTCAATATACTGTGTTTATCATGCACTTCAGTGCACCCAAAATTGAATTATATACAGTCATAAAGGTACTACATGTATAAATATATAATTGTACGCTTGATGGTTTACAGCATATAGATTGACTGACTATTATACACCAGTATTTCCTCTTGACATTTTTAAAAGTTAGGTACTAGTGCGTGTTTAATCACAGTGCTAGGAAAGCATATGAAATGCAAGTGTGGTAGACTTTACTTGTGAATATTGGGTCAAAGAATTGAAAGCAATGTCTATCCAGTAGCCTATAGTGCCAGATAAGAATATAAATGTTGATGAATTTTGCTGCATCATGATTTAGATATTGTTTTATTGCAAAAATGTCTGAATTGTGCACGATAGATATACATGTATTGCTGGCTTACTGCCCATCTAATATATATTAATGATTGCTGTCTTTTTGAAAAGTGATATGGGAATCTGTGCATTCAACACCATGGGGGTGTTACAAGTTGACAGTGCTAATTTTTCAATTAGTCTCATCTCATTATAATGCAAATAGAACTATTTAGTCTGAAAGTGGTTGAATCACCCCATGTTTTTTTTTCTCTTAGGAATTTGTAGAAGTCTTCTTTTTTTATCTTGAGGTTTTACCTGGAATATCCTCTATTTCTTAGGCAATTCATGGAAAATCTAAATCATTAAATGTAGACATTCAACAATGATTAGTCAGTGGGTATGCTGTATGCTCATTATATCTGTTTTTTTGTGTGTTGAAAAATTAAATACTCTACACTTGTCTACATAAATTAATATTGTGTAATATAAGTAATAGGCATTTCTATGCCCAAATTACCATGTCTTACAAATGCCACAAACAAGGTTAATACACATACATGTATACATTCAGCCTCCAAATGTCATTCAGGGTAGCTCACAGTCTGAAAATTATGCAAATCAATGAAATGTCTGGTATGCAAATTAATGAGGTAACTGGGAAGATATCCAGGTAAAGTTGCTGGATAATTAATCAATGAGAATTGAGTCACCTTGATGTGTATTACTAGTAACACCTGGTGGCCTGAACTAAAGACCTTTTACGTCACTGGTCAAGCATTTAACCTTCACATCAGTATTGTTCTGTGAGGGTGGGACAAAGGGAGGAAGACTTCCTTCTGATCCTTTAATGTCTTATCCTTTCAGTGTTTCACTCAGGATTTATCGACAGTCACACCTTCTTGGAGGATCAGCATTCAGCAGCATTCCAGTAAACCAATTTTATAGATATAAAAATATTGTCCAAAGAAAATGTCCAGAAGAAAAGAAAAAGAAAAATAATTCCGAATTTGAAAAAAATTGATAAAATTATGCATGTCATTTCTGTGATCCATAAGATGTACAGTTACCATTAGATGATACTACACCTTTTTACTAATGGGGGAATACTTGTTTGTGCTTGTTGTACGTACTTTTCTTTGATTGGAAATACATAATTAATTTTGATATGATCAAGGACATAATTTATAATTATATACAATCATGTACATGGTCCTTGAAATGATAGTGCATTTGAATGCACCGGTATAATCGCCTCCTTCAAATGCTCCCAAAATATTTCTTTAACGTTTAAGTTATCGCTAATTTGCTATATATGTGTGCCATCGCAAAAGAAAATGTGGACAGCCATTCAACCCATAAACACTCAATTGACTCAAATGCTTTGAGACCATTTTTGGTAAATTGGAGACTTACTACTACTGGGTTCACACTTGGGTAATGGGTTATATGTGAAAGTATGAGAATGTATGGCCCTTTGGCTATGCCTTTCATGTGGACGTGCTTAGCTAAAGAATCTTGTTGAAAATTTAGGTCTTGCCCTAACACTGTGCCCTAGGCATTTGTAAACACACATATAAATAGATATTGGTGTATGTATGTAACTTATTGTAAGTATTACTCTGTGGCCGATACTTATGTAACATTGTAAGAGAGGAATGACACATGACATGTCATATCATACTAATTTTAGTTACTTGAACTTCATTGAAGAAGAATTTGAACATTTATGCCAAGTTCAAAATGTGTACTGGTTAAAACCTTTACATACATACAAACATTACACCGGAAATTTAGGAATAACGGTACTTGAAATGTATATCTATTATTTTTGTACCCATTCAATTTTTGTCACCAAGAAGGAGAAAGGTAACGGGGGGTGCCCTAATTCCGACCTATGTTCCATGCAAACGCACATACCTTTGATAATAGTTTATCTGACCAAAAACTCGCGCAACATGAGCTATAATATTGATAGATAAAGATCACAACGATTAAAGCTACACAAATGTGTATTTCACTTCAGTGTAGCGCCTTGCACCGAAGCGTAATGGTTCGCGAAACGCACGGCAGTTTTTTTGCCATTTTGCCGGTGGAACGTTCTATCGCAACAGGGGTGCCCTAATTCCGACCTAGTGTTTAACACAGGTCGATCTGAGAAGAGAGTTTAGAAATTATAATACACAAATTATGACTAAAACAATCTACAACTGTTTTCTGTCCCAAACCAGTCCTCTTTTTACGATTACGCGACTTGCTCCAAAGTGGCTGTTTGAAAAGCAAAACCTGCATTTTTGACACGCTCGTCAACCCCCGAACAAGCGTCGAATTCACACAGATTTTTCACTTGTCTGTTGTCGGAGTGTACAAACTAAAACAAACTTAGTGAGATTACCGATATCAACACAAAAACATTGTCCATTCATGTGGTTATTTTCAGGTACGTGCTCCCATGCATAACACCGCAACAAGGATTTTTCAAACTAGTTCGGTATTAGGGATGGGTCGGAATTAGGGCACCCCCCGTTAATCAAGAAAATTTTTCTCCAAGTTAAAGGCCAAATAAAAATAAACCAATCCTGGCTGTTCATCCAAATGTTTTCAATGCTAGTATTTAATTTTTAAAGGACTTTGAAGTATAAGTCATCAGCCACCTTAAGTGAACAGCTGGTTTTATAGATAAATGTCTAAATATATGCTGTCATTTCCTGTGCATCCATGTGTCAGGAAACAGTAGAGACGTTATTGGGATCCTCCCCTTTTTTCGTGGTTTTGCTGTTTAATAGCTTCAGGCATGAAATTAGACTAGGTTTTTGTAGAATGATGTAGATACATGTCGTTACTTGTTTCTTCAACCTATAAAAAAATGCCAGTGAATGTTCCAACTATCAGTCTTACTAACTCTTAGTAAGTCAAGAACTATAGCCAGAATTAAGACATTAGTATGCAGCATACATAACTGTCTGGATATCCAAGTCCTGTTCTCCTCAATGTGAGTTACTGTTCATTTGAATGTATTCTTCCCCTCCTTTTTCACTTCTTTTCAAATGTTTGAACATCCCTATACTAACACCAACATTGTGTATGATTTAAAGAGCAGTGCAGATAGTTGTACCTGTCCAGTATTAATTTGGCCATTCTTGTCTGTAGTGCGCTAGGCCAATACTCTAATAGAGGGCCATCATTGAGTGACTGTTGAGTGACCAAAGTTTGATATTTGTGATCAAAATCTAATATGACGCACAATGTGAAAGTTATCTAAAAGGCAACAAAACACATAAAACAGTAAACAAAAAGAAAGTGATTTCTGTATGAATTTTGTAGTGTCATCTGTCATTACAAGTATTTGGTAACTCAGCAGTGGCAGCCTCAGTTAGAAAGGGCCAGTGGGTGTAAGACAAAAATGTATTCAATTTGATAGTAATAATTGTGCATAAGGTTTAATAAGTTCTGTTTGGCCCAAAACTGGACACTGCAATTCTAGGATTGCCTGCATATGATGCGTTGCCTACCATTGCTCCCTTTATCATGGTAATTAGTGATATCTGATTGCTTGCACACATCTGGTTATTACATCTCTTTCCCCTTGGGTCTCTTTCGAAAAGGCATAATTAGGGCCAGGGGCCATACCACAGGCGTCATTTACAAGCATACAGTTACATCTGTTCTCTCATACATTGTAGCATACATGATTATGTACATCATATATTTTTTACGATCTATGGTACTCCTATCTATTAGAATGTGTCCTAGAAATTTTGGAATGTACAGAGCATGTAAAAAGCTTTACTCAGTTCTTTGAGAATTACCGTATGTATGTTTTGTCCATGTAAGTTACAGATAGTTGAAAAAAATTTACTGCTATCAAATTATGAAAATCAAATTATGCTATAAAAATGCTGAAGATTATAAAATTTTGCCCCAGCCATTGACTCATTACCTTTATCTAATGTATTTGTAATATTAGAAATGATATTAAGGTTTTAAGTATTTCCCATCCCAATGCTGAAATTATGACTATTGGAGCAACAATTATTAGTATTGTAGAGATTTTCCATTCGTCTAAGGATTCAGTACATGTACATGTTGATAGTGGAGCTTACAGGTTACTGCAACAGTCAGTTCAGGCTAATTAGAGCTGAACAATAGAATCGGATACAGGATGACTCACACAGCTCCAGGGCATCCTGAGCATTACAGTCTGGCAACCAGCAGACCAGGTATATCTGAACTGTAACCTATGAAAGTGTGATTCCAGCCTCAATTTTTCTCTTTCATAACAAGTAAAAACAGGGCCCACGGTATGTGCATTCAACCAACAATTGTTCCCACACCCATCCAGCCACAAAATTCATGCCAGCTGAACACGAAGGTCGATTATCAGTGATCGCTGTGCTTCTGGGCTAGTGAGCATTAGCCAGACTGGAGAGTGTGCTATATGTTTCACACAATACCCAGCATCAAAAGCTACCGGTAATATCCAAGTTATGTTCTCCAACAATGCATTTTCTTCAATATAGAAAAAAAAACAGATTATGAAATAACGGTGGCATATCAATCATTACATGCTGGCAAATGAAGCAATCCTCAATGTCTTTGAATAAAGAAATGCCCTTGGCTGTCAATAAAATATGCGTATCCTAATGAGTGACAATTTTACTGCATACATGTAGTTACTGGTATTTATTGAACATTACAAATTTCCTTTTTCAATATATCGTTGTGTCTGAATATTATAAATTCCTTATATTATCATTGTGTCTGAATATTATAAATTCCTTATATGACTACATGTATTTGACCATGGAGGTAGAAACCACCACGATTTGACATTGAGCTTTTTCGAATGATTGAATAAATATGATATTGCATACAATATAGATTTGCCCCTAAAGCATTACTGATGCTTGTGAGTCATTTTTTTTAAATCTGCCAAAATCTATCTGTTAGTCTGACCAACCATCAAAACAGCTCTGTACGATATCCATGTGTTATGGATTGTGACACCACTGTACACAAAAGGGCATGATAACATGTTGGCAGTAGATCAATATTCACTGGCTAGTTTAAAATGTAACACTTGGAAAACAACCACTCACTACTGTAGCTTACCTTCCATTAAACAGCTTCTACTCTTTAAATGCCAGGGTACAGCAATTCTCCTGCGTGCTTCAGTATTTGATTGGGGGCTTCCGTCCCTGTCATGTCAGAGGCACTGTAGTGGGTAGGAAACCCCACTGTACCACACAGCACACACAAAGGTTGTGTTGGTGTTCTCAGTCACAGGCATGTGGTGGGGCCACCCAATAGCAGGGGGATGATGTCATCTGTAGAGGATGCCTCCAGCCAAATTTGGGTGGTTACAAGTCATGTGACCCTGTGGAAGGACCCACTTCCTATAGAAAGGGGGGTTGATCATGACATAAAAGTGAAAGTACTGGCATCTGGCATAAATGTCGCTATTGTATTAAAGGTTGTCTATAAAATGTTTTTGATAAAGGGTGGATCGGCTTGAATTTTGATTTTATTCATTTTCTAAAGGCAACATTTTACAGCTACTCTTATTAGAATGATAGAAATGTTAGGAAAAATACCTTAGGTTGGGAATAATATTCCTTGGTTTATCATTCTTTTCATGTTGTGAATAGAATAATGATGCTCTTTTTTTGTTGATTTTATGTAGGGATATCGATATATTTGTCCCCAGTAAAACAAAAATTGCACAACATACATGTAATCAGGTCAGTTGTCAGTATAGTGTATGATGAGTTACCAAACATCTGATACTAGGATGCACAAGGTTGATTTTGATCCTGAAGGAATTACATGTATTACTGAAAAACATATTCAACTTGCTTTTGTCTGTATATTTCAGTCGTTTTCCATATTATCTGTTATGTGCATCATGTGTAAACACTGTGTTTCTTTTCTCCTCCCGCAGCAAAGATGGGTATCAGTGCTCTCAGCAGAGTTCCCAACCCTGGCCATGCATGCCAGCGTTACCAACCCTTTTGGCAAGGGGGCGCTTATTCAGCTGCTCAGGCAGTTTGGAAAGGTGGGTAGGCCCTGCTGTTACAAGATTCTCAATTATCTTTTCTTCTGTTAGGCACAGATATTTTTGTAACATTTGCTCCCCAAAAATTTTGATTATTCTTGTTTTGTTGTTTTCCAGCTACACCAAGACAAGAAACAGATCAGTGTTGGTCTGATTGGTTACCCCAATGTGGGGAAAAGTTCCATCATTAACACACTGCGAGGGAAGAAGGTGTGCAGTGTGGCTCCCATAGCAGGGGAGACAAAGGTCAGCAGATCGGAAGAGTTTCCAATTTTATCATTCATTAGGCTACCATTGGTTACAGTGTGTGGAGGTTTTGTTTTGGGTGTGTTTTGTTGGTTTGCTTGTATATGTATGTATGTAGACCCATAACCGTGAACGGTCGTAGGGGCATCATGGCAGCCAGCAGCATGTCTGGACTTGCGCCATGATGTTTCAGTAGGCTTATAATCTTGGCGGCGCCTATCTCCTCTCCAAGATTTTGGCTGATACAGGCGGGGTTCGCCAGGTCTCCGTCCGGGTGAATGATGTAAATCACCATGTGGCTTATACAAGACGGAGGTCGCCAGGCCTCTGTCCGGGTGATTTGAAGTGAATCACCAACTCCATACAGTAGTGTTTGTACCATCGCACACCGGGGCATGCCCCTACTCTTTTTCGAAAGGTGTGGTGGGATCTTTAACGTGCTCGAGGTGTGGCTCTCCTCAAACACGGGACCTCCAGTTTACGTCCTATCCGAGGGACGTCCCTAACCGAAGCTAGGTACTCATTTACACCTGAGTGAAGTGAGGAAAGTCGTGTAAAGTGCCTTTCCCAAGGGCACAAGATCGGTGCACAAGGTGGGGTTCGAACCCGCAACCTCTGGGGTGTGAGCCGAACGCGCTACCGACTGCGCCACACGACCCCACTTGCTTGTGTATCCATAGCTATTTGAATATAGTAGAGTCACAGGAAGTGACAGATTTTATTGCCCATGATTGCAGGTGTGGCAGTACATCACCCTGATGAAGCGTATCTACCTGATAGACTGCCCCGGGGTCGTGTACCCATCTGAGACCGAGTCAGAGACAGAGCTGGTGCTCAAGGGAGTGGTAATATTGATTTCTTTTCTTACTTGTCTACCTAAACTTTGCACATCTACTGCAATTGTTGTTTAAAGCTTGTCTAGTGCAGATGCCCCTGGTGTATATGCTGACAATGAGTGAGTGTTTTCCTTTAAAATTTTTTGTCATCCAAGTTTTTGAATCTGTCTTTGTCTCCAGGTGAGGATAGAAAACGTGAAACTACCAGAATACCACATCCCAGCTGTGTTAGAGAGAGTCAAGGAGGAGTACTTAGCCAAGACCTACAAACTGCCTGTCTGGGATGGACCTGAAGACTTCCTGGAGAGCATGGCGAGAAGGACTGGCAAACTCTTAAAGGTTTGAGTATTTTATGGTCCTTTCCACGAAGATGGTTATTGTAGAGGATTTGTTCTAATCTGTTCAGAACTAAAGATTGGTACAGACCTGAAAGATAGACTGGCTTTGGCAAGTTTTAGAAGAAATTTTGATTTGCTTTCAAGCCTTTTACACTCCAGTGATACATATAGAATTATACTACACGGTGTATTCCGTATCACCCGAGGTACCAGCCCAACCATGGGTTGGATTGGATGATGGGGAATACACTATGTTGCATTTTATTTATGTCATACCTACTCGAGAAAACAGTACCATATCAATGCGAAATGCGCCCAAATCTGGTGTATATAAACAAAAAGTGTAACAATCCAACATTCCAGTTTGGTGTTTGAAGTTTCAAAATCAGGAAATGCATTTGAATTATTCTATGGAACATTTTTAAGCCTGTGTGATAACAAAAGAGAGCACCGGGTCGTACCGTTAGTTATCACACGGGCCGGAACACCTGTATCAAACATTATCGCCATCCAGGTATGACATAAACTGTACTGACAACTCATACTAGTCATGATCGAAAAACATTGTGTTCTCAGTGTTTATCTTCTTGGAATAGTAGTAGGCATTTCATCGGTTGGAATAGCTAGGTACAAATTAACAAATTTCTGTTATTGTGTGCTTATGTAAAAACTGAATTTGAGACATAAACACAGGATTTAGCATATAGCTATATGCTTTAACCTATTATATATGAATAACTCCCTGACATTCTACTGTAGGGTGGTGAGCCTGATGTAAGTACTGTGGCGAAGATGGTGCTAAATGACTTCCAGCGTGGCCGGCTGCCATACTTCGTGAAACCACCAGGGGCTGATTTGGACATACAGGTATGGTTACTTGTTTAAAGTTAAAACTTTTGGTCCAGTGAATCTTCACTGGGTCAGTCTACGGAGGAAGACCAGAGTGACTGGTCGAAAGCTCTAGGTGAGAGAACTTTTTGTGTTGGACCAAAAGTTTTAACTTTAAACATGTAACTACCAACACAGATGGACTTTCATGATAGGTATGGTTACTCTTAGGCCGAAGTTTCCCAAGGCCCCCTTGTGGCACGGATAGGAAATGCAACCCATCACAACAGTGCTCTTGTTTTTCTATATTTCTAGTAGTTCTTGGTTTGGCATGTTTTGCCAGTTTGAATTTAGCCACACCAATTTAATATTGATTTGTTGGTTCTCAGCTAACTGAAAAAACATAATGAAAACAAAACATAAGGATCAGCATAAAGTCTTGGTGCACTCAGTTTTATGCAATAAATACTGCATATAAAAAATTTCCTGCCCTCCATCTGCTTTTAAGAAGTCTGCTTGTTATATTTTCAAAGTAAAATGTAATAGAACCAAGGAAATAAACTTGTGTGGCCTTAGCAGTAAAAGGGCAAGTGCTAAAAATGTAGTCTGATTCTGGTTTTGTCTTGTGCCCTCAGAAACCAAAGTCAGCTGTAAGCTCCAGTCAACCACTCATCAAGTTTGTACCAGCTGCTGGGGAGACTGAGGAGAGCACCGGTGCCACAACATCTGAACCAGAAACATCCACAGAAACAGAGCAGGAAGATGTCCCCAACACTTCTCCACAGGGAGTAGAAGGGAGCCTCACCAACAAAGAGAAACGGTTGCAGACGAAGCTAGCCAAGCAAGAGAAGTTGGAAAGGAAGCAACCCAGGGTGGCCCAGGACTTGAGCAAGATTGTAGTGGGGCTGGACTTCTCGGGTGATGACGTGCAACCACTGGAGCCACAATCTCCGGGTGTGGTCAGCACGATGTCAGGCTACAGTGCAGATCAGAGTTACGTGTCAGAGGACGATCTTGGGAGAGATGTGGAAGAGGAAGAAGAAGAGCAAGACGATGTGCAGTCAGAGGAGGAGGAGAACCAATCAGCGGCTAGCGATGAAAGTGAAGATGATACAGGAGATAGTAATGAAGATGAAAGCAGGGCAGAGACACAGATGGGTGATGGTAAGAAAGTGGCAGAAAAAGAGTTGGGAGAAAAGGAGTTAGCAGAGCAAGATGAGCTTGAGACAAGAGATAAAGACAGAAAAAACAAACACGGCAAGGAAAAAAGAGATCCCAGCAACAAGGGGCAGAAAGGAGATCATGTTAAAGACAGGCGGAGCCTGGACACTCAGTATGTTTTGAAAAGTCCAGTAAGTAAAAAAGTTAGAAAGGCAAAGAAGAGAAAGCTCACACAGATGTCAACATCAGGAAAGTGGGTAACCTCTGCCATATCTGAAACCAGTGCCTCTATGCCTGTAGCATCTACAAGTGGCTGGAAAGTACAGTCTACACATGGTCCTGCTGAACAAGACAGCATGGAAAGTGGACAAGTTGAGTCTCCAAGTGGAAAAATGCCTCCATCTGAAACAGACCTTCTGCAAGCACCAGGTAAGATGATTTGGACTCACTGTAAATTGTGAAACTTTTACAGTGCTATTATTTCACAACACCACCTTAATTGTCACTCAACTCTACTCTATGGTGCACCGGCTGTAAAAAAAGTGTCTTAATTAAATACCGGATACCCATGTTCCTACCTCTATCCCCAGATAACTATGCTGTGAAAGTGAGCCCACATGTCTTCTGTGTGGAGGCAGCCCCTTCTCCCAGCAAGAAGTCCAAAATGGCAGAGGATGTTACTCCGGGGGATTCAGAAATGGAGCAAAGTGGGAAGAAGAAAAGGTTGACAGCAAAGCAGGTAAGGGCACATCTTCTTCTTCTTCTAAGGGCACATACATATACATTAGTGCTGCATCCAATTGTTCCTGAAACAGTAAACAATCAAATGTTTAACTTTTTAATTCAATATTTTGTTACTATAAACATGTTATTCCTGCCACAATGATGTCAGTTTAGCATGGAAAAAGATTAAAACATTGTATAAGAATAGAAAATGGTTCTGTCTTTGATTCAAAATCCATCCAAATGAAAGCATGGGCTATCTGATCTTATGTTTGCCACCCTTTTTCTTTGTTCCACCTACAGAGACGCAGTCTAGAGCGAGCTCAAAAGACAAAGAAGGTTGGAACCCACTACTACCAAGAGGTCAATGTCAAGAACAAAAATAGAAACAAAAAGATGGACAGAAACACACCAAGCAAAGTTAAGAAGGGTAGAAAGTGACATTTAGACATGTGCACAAACTAAGACTGAACCTGTGTAAACAGGAGTTTTTGTGAAAAAGTCTATCCTTTCAGACCTTATAATTTTACTTTGGTCTGTAATAGATCAATTAAATCTAGAGATATACAATACACCATGATATATTTTATTTGGTAAAATGATACATAACTGAAGGTTAGTGAAACTTGAAAGAATGAGAGAAAAAGTTTCTTCCCTGTATTTGATTCAAATCTATATGAAGATACGTCAATTTGCATACTTGTATACAGGCGACTATACAAAGTGACTGCAAGACGTTTTACTGTATAACAAGGTATGATTATAGACCAGAATATATAACGAATCCATGCACATGTACAGACTAATATTCAAATTTGCATACTTGAATTTGATGATTACTGGTAGACTGAATATGCACAATGAAATATCTAACTACATTGTACTTGGAAAATAAATCATTGCCTGAGGTATATCAATTACTGCATTTATATTTTGAAGACCTTGTATCTGAAAAGTGCACATTTGCAGGGTAATTAATTTGTCATATTGCTGTCAAAATAAACTGAAGAAGTCCTCAATAATATTACTTCTATATTATTGTATTTCATTTTTATTTTGTTGTATTAGTATGGCTATATGACAAAGCTTTATTTTTTTCAAAATTGATGCATCCATTTGGTGTTTTTGGCTGATCTTGAAATTCCTTAGCTGTTTCCAATTTGTGCTCTTGTCTTTCTATTATTTAAATCTGCATTGTTTTGACTACAATTCAAATAAATGTCCTTCGTGATGTATCGGAAGAAGTGAATCAGATGTACTGCATGATGGTTTCAAGAAACTGTATGTAC